TAAAACAATCCTCTACAATAAAAGATCTTCTGGAGGTATCTCCATCCCTGATCTTAAGTTGTACTATAGAGCAACAGTTTTAAAAACTGCATGGTACTGGCATAGAAACAGAAAGGAGGATCAATGGAACCGAACAGAGGACCCAGAAATAAACCCACACACTTATGGATACCTGATCTTTGACAAAGATGCCAAAACCATACAATGGAAAAAAGATAGCATCTTCAACAAATGGTGCTGGTCCAACTGGATGTGTACATGTAGAAAAATGAAAATAGATCCATACTTATCACCCTGCACAAACTGAAGTCCAAGTGGATCAAAGACCTCAACATAAAACCAGACACATTAAATCGGCTAGAAAAAAAAGTGGGGAATACCCTAGAACTCATTGGTACAGGAAAAAACTTCCTGAACAGAATACCAACAGCACAGGCTCTAAGAGCAACAATCAATAAATGGGAACTCATGAAACTGAAAAGCTTCTGTAAAGCAAAGGACACCGTCATCAAAACAAAGTGACAGCCTACAGATTGGGAAAGAATCTTCACCAACCCTTTATCTGACAGAGGACTCATATCCAGTATATATAAAGAACTAAACAAGCTGAAAAGCAGCAAACCAAGTAATCCACTTAAAAATGGGGAACAGAGCTTAACAGAGAATTCTCTGTAGAGGAATATCGAATGGCAGAGAAGCACTTAAAGAAATGCTCAACCTCATTAGCCATTAGGGAAATGCAAATCAAAACAACCCTGAGATTTCACCTTACACCCATGAGAATGGCCAAGATCAAAAACTCAAGTGACAACACATGCTGGAGAGGTTGTGGAGAAAGGGGAACCCTTCTCCACTGCTGGTGGGAATGTGAATTTGTACAACCACTCTGGAAATCAATCTGGCACTTTCTCAGACAACTAGGAATAGCACTTCCTCAAGATCCAGCCATACCCCTCCTAGGAATATATCCAAAAGAGGCTCAAGTACACAAAAAGGACATTTGTTCAACCATGTTTGTAGCAGCTTTATTTGTAATAGCCAGAAGCTGGAAACAACCCAGATGCCCCTCAACTGAAGAATGGATGCAGAAATTGTGGTACATCTATACAATGGAATATTACTCAGCAACGAAAAATAAGGAAATTATGAAATTTGCATGTAAATGGTGGGACCTGGAAAGGATCATCCTGAGTGAGTTGTCCCAGAAGCAAAAAGATACACACACGGTATATACGACTCATATAGACATACAACATAGGACAAAACCACTAAAATCTGTGCATCTAAAGAAACTAAGCAAGAGAGAGGACCCTAACTAAAATGTTCAATCCTCACCTGAAAGGCAAAGAGGATGGACATCAGAAGAAGAAGAAAACAGGAAACAACCTAGGAACCTGCTACAAAGGCCCTCTGAAAGCCAGAAGAAGAAAACAGGAAACAAACTGGTGAGGTTATTTTTAGTGACATCAGACTTAAATATTCCCAGAAGGTTTCAAATTTGACAACCACAACTTTTAGAAGCCAGGTAAGTACAATGACAGATATGTCTTTTTGTTTGTTTGGTTTTTGTTTTTTCAGCCAGTAACTGCTTACTGTCAAGTGGTCCAAGGCACAGACATGTCATTAACATGGAGGCCCAACTGGGTAGGTGATATTTGTGCTAGAGAGATGAGACAGTCAGCAATTGATCCATCCTGCAGACTGCCTGTAAATGGCCTCCCTTACATACAGACTTCACATCTCTTCTCCGTTGATCATTCATTCCAAATCTTGAGGCGCCTAAACACGTATGTTATGAGGTTTCTAAAACATCAAAGTGACTCAGCATATACAATGCAATTTCTATGTTGATTTCCAGGTGTTAGCTAAATAGGAGCCTATATGAGTCTGTATCTGAATACAAGAAGTTCAGTGGTCATCCAGGGTGAGGATATATGTATATCCGCAAAGAGTACTGCATTGTGGGAACTGATTCCTCCACTGAATTGGGAAAAGGAATTTCCTCAGCCCTCTTTAGTCTTTCCTTCTAAAGGTCCTCCAAATTCCTTCCCAGTCTTCAGCCTCTTCATTCTTCTGCCTGGCCCACACTGATGCTCTCATATTGCCTCATATTGTCTATATGACTCTCATATATCTATATGACTCCTGATCTCATTGCTGTGTCTCACTGCAACAAACACCCCAGGCTAGTTTTCTCTTCAGGGTTTTCAAATCAGGAAACACGAATGTCTCCTTTAATTCTAAAGCAGTGTTTCTTAACCTGTGGGTCATGACCCCTTCAGGGAGTTGTAAATGACCCTTTCACAGGGGCTCCTGCATATCATAGATTTACATTACAATTCATAACAGTAGCAAAATTACAGTCATGAAGTAGCAATGAAAATAATGTTATGGTTGGGGGTCACCATGACATAAGGAACTGTAATAAATGGTTGCAGCCTTAGGAAGGTTGAGAACCACTGTAAAGAGCCTCCCATCCCTTCTGCCTCCTCTGCCCATCACAAGAAGCCAAGGGTAACCCTGCTTTTCCAGCCCTTGCTGGTCACAGCTTCCAGCTTTTCCTAATGTACATCTTTGAGCAGCTTTCTTGGTTTTTCTCACTAATAAAATTGTGGATGATACTTGGTTAGAAGGAGTAAGAAGGGATAAGTCACATACCCTGTATCTGACACATTATAAATGTTCGTTATAAACAGTATTATGAATATTATTAACACTAACTCTTTGCATACACTCTTTTTCTAGCTTCTAACTATAACTGTTGCAATCATTCTTTCTGATTTTAATGTGCTTATTTCCCCTAGATATAGACTCTAACTAAATTTCTGATCTCTTAGAAAATAAGGTAGACAAGAACCCAAGGAGGACTGATAATTTGTAATCTCAAGATGAAGTGGTGCCTTAAAAATCAGTGAAGATGGGGCTGGAGAGATGGCTCTGCAGTTAAGAGCACTGGCTGCTCTTCCAGAGGACCTGGGTTCAATTCCCAGTACTCACACAGCAGCTCAGAACTCTCTGTAACCCCAGTTCTAGGGGATCAGACATCCTCACACAATATAATGCTGACAAAAGACCAATGCATATGTAATAAAAATAAATACATTTTAAAAAATCAATGAAGATGAATTCACCATTTTCACATGAAAACTTTTTTCAGTATTAGGCTATTGAAAAATTGTTCTCAATTTAATGCCATTATTCTTCATTATACTCCTTATACTGTATGCCTCCCTCATTGCCTCACTTTCTGTAGTCTTTTCCTGGCTTGAAGCACCATTCAAGAACAGTGGGATAACTATTGGACAACACACTTATGCCATTCAAATTCACTGGCTTCTGACTCACACTGAGGAAATATAGCTTCATACAAAGATTTAGTGTCTGTAACTTTTGGAGGCCAACAGTTTATTCTTAAAAGTAGTATAGCTTTAATATTAAGAGCTATTAAAATTATTAATACTAAAAAATTAATATAAAAATTATTAATATTAAAAGAACTTGCAAGCAACAGCAACTTGGGGAAAGCAAAATAAATTGGCTTCTAATATATTTTCAACAAACTGAAAAGTCAATTGAATACCCATGCGGTCATTCCCTGTGTGTGTGTGTGTGTCTCTGTGTGTCTCTGTGTGTTTGTATGGAAGGTGTTTGTTTATGTGCTGTGTGGGTGTGTTCGTGTGTATATATAGGTAGGCATGTGTATGTATGTGTATGTGTCTGGGAGGTGTTCGTTTATGTGCTTGTGTGGGTATATTCATGTGTCTATATAGGCAATCATGTGTTGTGTGTGTGTGTGAATACCAGAGACTGACATCCAGTGCCATGATCAATTACTCTCCAACCTAATTTATCTGAAAGTGTTTTGCTGAACCTGGAGCTGGTCGTTCTGCTCAGCCAGCTGGCCAGTGAGCTCCAGGTCTTGCCTGTCTCTGCCTCCCCAGGGTTGTATCCAGAAGCATGCTGCTGTCTTCAGAATTTTAAGTAGGTTCTGAGGATCCGACCCCAGGTTCTCACACTTGGAAGGCAGAACTGTTAGCAACTAAGCCACACAGACCCCAGCTACCTTTCTTCTATTTTCTTCTACGATGAAGCCTACTATTGACTAAGTCATTATAACTGAGCAGTATTATTCTAGACAGAAATAAGGACCTGTAAGAATGATAGTTTCTATAAAAGTTTCTAAAAGTATAATTATTAGAACTGATATATTTAGCAATATATATATATACATGTTCTTATTTGTTATTAACATATAGGATTGTTTTCAAACTTCTTCTAACGATTATCTTTCAATGGATCCTGGTCAACAGCTACAACTTAGGGAAAAAATTTGGCTTTTTCTGTGGCTGTAGACAAAGGATTATATCAAGTGTGACAGTGTGGTCCTAGAACTCTGAAAGAGTGTCTAGAGCACCCCCAGGTAATTTTTTATTGGACCTACTCTTTTGAAAGGTATTTTCTTTTATTGACTCTTGGAAAACTTGTTTTTATTGCTTTACTTATTTTAAATTTAAAATAGGACCACACTTGGCCATTTGCAGGAGTTTCCTTTTCTTTTATTCCTCTTGAATTGTTATGAGTTGTTTGTATTTATGCTTGTATCACTTTCCTAAGGAACACACATTTGTCTGCAGTTCCCTTAGGCAGCTTGGGAGAGCATGTTTAGGAGAGTTAGTTGCATTGGGCCCGTTCCAGGTTCCAGGAGGTACTCTATTTAGATTTATTGAGAGGAAGAGAACCCTTAACAGGAAGTCAAAATTGTGAGCAACGGTACTTTTCTGCAATGCATCTAGCTCTAGCTTCTTGCCGAATCCATATATTTCTTTGTGATATATTCATACATTTTCTTTATGGTGCTACTTAAAAACAGCAAAGTGAGATCTGTCTGGGTATTTGAATCATCTTGCTGATGCTACAAATGGTAAAATAATATCTAGTCATGACTCATATTCGTTCATGTGTTTGTAAAAGTCATATTCCTGGGATTAAGTGCAGCTTACCTTGTCTGACAGCTAGGGTAGTGGTGTAGACCAAGAAGAGGAGGATGTAGTTCAGAAAGCTCTGGAAGACTGGTGTGTTGGCATGAAAATCTTCTGCCAGGTACTTGCTGGTCAAACCAATTCCACAAACAAGAAGGGATAACACTTGGCCCAATGCCACAGAGATTAACATTTCCCTGAGAAATGAAGAAAAGCACAGTAATGTCAACCAGAGATCCATGAAAATAACAGCAGTTAAGTGCACTGGTACTTTCTAAGCAGACACTGAGTTAAGGGCAGTGAATGCTATTTATTGTAATACACTGAAGCAATGATAGGGAGACTACACAGTTATTACTAAGGCTTTCTAGAGATGGAAACTAATGCTTAACATGGCCAATTAGCTTTCTCCCAGAACCGCTATGAGGATAAAGTAAAACCAGGTTATGAGATCAAGTCTCTGCAAGGGGACCTGGTTTCCAATCACTGTACTCCAGAGGTGGTTGAAGAAACAGACTATGTTCAGTACTCTGCATTAGCGATGCTAAAAGCATGCCCAACTCTAGCAAGCAAGAAACATATCCCAGCATCATTTGTGTGGATAACTAATCAATAAAGAAAAAAAAAAAAAAACCTTTGTTCTACAGATCAAAGTGCTGGATTTAGAAACTCTTGGATGAAAGGGCTATACATCTAGAAAATCCAGAAGGACCATCTCTTATGCTCAAGTAGATTCTGGAACTATGTTCTAAGAAGCTTTAATATGTATTGGGTCTTTATTCTCTGCTTCTCAAGTTACAATTGCCTATACATCAAAGCTGTTTTTCCTGAAATAGATTCAGAACTATGGTAGTATAATAATTATGCAAATATTTTCATTGCTGTTTTCATGGGCAATACTCTTGTAGACCACTGAAATGGAGATTGGGGCAAGCACCAACATGTTCAGTTTCCAAGAAAATCAAATGCCCACACAAGCTATGTATACACACACACACATACATGTACACACCCCTGCTTTGACACAAGAAAAGCCTCTGGAAGAAGAAGGCAGACTTTTTCTGAAAGTTGCTTGTGGCTTTTCTGGCTCTTTTGTAGGAACAGCAATAAAAAATAAGAAGGCAGTGCTATAAGCTCAAGAACTTTCAGCAGAAGATGTGTGATGTTATATATTTCTTCCCCCATGGCAGAAAAAAGTCTATTTTTTTTTTCCTGATGGAGAGTGGGTCTATATCTCCTTTCTTGGAAGCTAGATTGATCTTGCTTTGCTTTGACCACTAGAGTACAGAGGAGGGGAAGCCATGAGCCTTCTGGGCCTGACTTTTGAGAAGTTTTGCTGAACTCATGTTTTCCTACTGGGGAACAGCTTCTCCATAAGTAGCCTGAACACTGAAAGACTCCTGGGAAATAAATAGAGAAATAAAGAGAGAAACCCAGGCAGAACTCTGTGTAAAGTATCAGAGTGGAGGGGTTGGGATCCTCCTGCCTCCATCATACTCAGCCAACCTATACACAGGGGAATAGGTGAGGCATCGCTAGAGATTGTTGCCCATCATGTATTTTCCAGCCTGACTCCTATTCATTTTTTTTTCTTTAAAACTTGACTCTTTTGTCACCTGCTTTGAGAGAGGCCTTACTGCTTTTTTTTTTTTTTTTTTTTAAATCTTAGGACACATCTATTACTTTTATCTCATTGCACTGTAATTACTGCTTGCTCATGACTTTGTAAGTTTCCTGAGTGTACCTACAGCGAAGTAATATGATTCAGAGGACTATGAAATGGAAGACTTAAAAGATAATTTGGGATAAGTAGACATGGTACTGAAATAGAAGAATATCAGGTTTTTTTGTATGTTTGTTTTAGAACAACAGGCTTGAGAGATAGGGAAGACAGTAGAGCACTTACTTAGCCTGGGCAAGGTCCTGGGTTCAACACTTCATGGAACAACTGGAGGGAGCAAGGAAACCATAAGAAAACCTACAGAGTAAACTAACCAGGCCCATGGAGGTTCACAGAGACAGAGCCACCAACCAAAGAGCATGCTGGGCTGGACCTCGGCCCCCTACACATGTGTAGCAGATGGTCAGTTCAGCTTGTTATTCATGCAAGTTTCCTAACAGTTGGACGGGAAAATGGAGTAGATCTTTCCTCCTAGAACACACTTTGTTTTCATGCCACATGTGTTTCATCCCTCCTTTTCTCCCATCCCCAATCCTTTCTCTTTCGTTTTTCAATAATGTATTTATCTTTGTTTTATATTCATTCATGTCTTGTCTGCATGTCTGTCTGTGTGAAAGTGCTGGAGCCCTGAAACTGGAGTTACAGTCAATTTTGAGCTGCCTGCCAGGTGGATGCTGGGAATTGAACCCAGGTCCTCTGGAAGAGCAGCCAGTGCTCTTAACCAGTGAGTCATCAATCCAGCCCCAGTACCCCAACCCTTTCTTATTCCCCCCAAAGTCCCTTTTCTAGTTTTATGACCTGTAATCCTCCCACATATAAATATACATAAGTTAAAATCTGAGATCTGGACTGACTTCATTGTCTTCCTCTGTGGACTGGTAAGGCTGCTCCCTCCTCAGGTGGAGGTGATCAAAGGGCTAGCCCATGAGTTCATGTCAGAGACGGTCCTGTTCCTATTATTGGGGAACTCTCTTGGACACTGAGCTGCCATGGGCTACTTCTATGCAGAGCTTCTAGGTTATCTCCATGGATAGTCCTTGTTTGGAGTATTAGTCTCAGAACCCCGGTGCCCAGATTTTTTGGTTCTGTTGCTCTCCTTGTGGAGCATCTGTTCCCTCCAGGTCTTTCTATCTCCCCCTTCTTCCATAAGATTTCCTGCACTCTGCCCAAAGTGTAGCCATGCAAAGTGAAGAAACTGTAATTAATAAAAGTAAAATAAAAATTAAAAAATATCTGAGATCTGCATGTGAGAGAAATTTATCCTATGTCTGGGATGCTTTGGTTGATATACTTCTATCCATTTTGCTGTAAGTGTTCTGATTTCATTTTTAAATACATGCTGCAGTTTCTTATCCGTTTGGCTGCTGACTGACATCTAGGTTTATTCCATTTCTTAGATGTTGTATTTAGAGCAACAGTGAATATGGATGCGCAAGCATCTCTGTGGTAGGACTTAGAACCTTTTAGGTGTTTACACGAGTGCTGGAGGTGGGTTGTATGGTGATTCTATTTTTTAAAAAGAAATCTGCATACTTATTTCCATAATAATTTCATTCATTTACATTTCCACTCCCAGCATAAAGGGATTTCTCTTCCCCTACTTCCTCAGCAGCATTTGTTAGTTTTCTTGATGTTAACCATTCTAACAGTGGTAAAATGGAATCTCAAGGTTGAATTACTTTGTATCTCTCAGGAGGCTAGGGTACTGAACACCTTTTAAAACATTTATTATGCTGATGGAGCTACTTTTGCTAAGGCATCTTCCTTCTCTTTCTTCTTTACTTTCTCCTTCTCTTCCTCCTCCTCTTCTTTGAGACAGAGTTTAATGTATTCCAGGATATCCTCAAACTCATTATGTGGTCCAGGATGACCTTGCATTTCCAATCCTCCAGAATTTAGAAATGTTAACATATCCACGGTTTTTGCTCATTTGTTTTCTGCAATGCTGGGAATCAAACTCAGGATATAGTGTAAGCTCAACTGACTGACCTATATCCCTCTAGCTTTGTATTTTGTTTATAGAGAACATTTTGTTTGGTTTCTTGCCTCATTTATTGATAGAATTTGTTTGTTTGTTTTAACAGTTCTTTGTATATTTTAGGTATTATTCTCCAATATGAAATACTGCTGTCAAAGATTAGTTCTCATTCTATAGCCCGTCTCCTCATTCTGTGAATGGTTTCCTTTGTTGTATAAAAGCCTTTTAATTTCATGTAACCCTATCTGTTAATTCTTGTCTTGGAAACCTAGGATATAGAGAGTTTCTTAAGTGGGATCATTAATGGTGACTTCACTGGTAGAAAGTGATGAGAAATAAAAAATGTTGACTTTGAAAGCGCCTTTGAAGATGTTTGATCTAATTACCATGTAACACAACATTAATCATAGTAGCTATATAATTAATTTACAGTAGACTAATAATAATCCTATGATCAGTCACTCATGATCATTTGCCTAATAAGGTACACACTGAAGTGGAAGAGATTCTGGTAAAATTATAGCTAGTGTATTAAATGGTTGTTGCTGATGTTGAGTATGCACTAAAGAGTGTTATGAGCGGAGTGTGCTTTCTTGTTGGGGACGCCTAAAACGATACTATGACCTACTTAAATTATAACAGTGATGCTAACACCTTGGTAGCATCCTAAACCAAACCAAGACATACAAGATTACAAAACACTTACACAAGAAAATGGAATTTTAATCTATTATGTGACTTCAGCCTTTTATATGATGCGTGTAAGACATGTAAAATGAATACAACATGGTCTGTCGTTGGGAGGCCAATCAAACTTTTGACACCGGATTTCCAAGAACCTTAGTTACCAAATGAAGAAATAGAAAATAAAGGGAAATATTACTAATAGTTCATATTTTAAAAGTGCTAGCATTAATTTATATTATTTTCTTTACCCCTCAGAAAATCTTGCACAGCAAATGCTGCTGCTATGCCTTTTCATAGATAAGAACCCAAACCACAGAGGCAATACACCAGCCCAAGGTCATAGAGCTGCTCTTTTAAAAATACGTAATTTAAAATTGTTTTTGTAAAACAGAATATCAGATTGGAGAATAACAGATCCACAGTCTGAATAGCCTTTGCTATCACTTTGGGAATGGCACCAGGACGCACCAGATACTACAGGAGGTACATCCTATCTGCCAACATGTTATACGCAGTGAGCTCATTGTGCCCTGGGTTTCACCTACCAGGGTTGATGCAATGGAAATTGGTAGACCACTTCCTTTGGTCTTTTACCTAATGCAAAATCTATCAGAGCACAACCATATAAATGTCACTACAAGACACAACTATTTCAAATACCCACCAACACAAATAGATAGCAAAACACAGTTTATTTATTGAATGAACAGTTACACAACAGAAAGGAATAATACACAAATATAAACTGTTACATGAACAAATTTTGTAAACATTTGAACTTTAAAACTATAGCACCAAAACACTCTGTGCACGATTTCATTCATATATAATGTCTTGGGAACGGAAGTCCA